ATCTATAATGTGAAATTCAGGATATTGCTTCCCTTCCTCACAGAAGCCCTCTGAGGATATGTCTTGGTCAGGGCCCWTGATCATTTGGCAAGAGAAGGTGTTGACTGCGTTCAGACTGGATGCTGATGTTCCAAACTTGAGCTCCTCTCTTATCCAAGACTCCTTCTGTTGAGCCAACTGCCTGGTTTGCAAACACGTTTGCTTTCTTTTGCCCAGGCAACATAATCTGCTAAAACTTTTTCTCCTCTGAGTTCAGCGGCAATCCAGATCTGGACTGGATTGAAGGTGCTCAAGGGTAAGAGTGATATTTTCCAAGCAGCACAGGTTTCGTGAGTTTTACTGCACTTCTCTGGAGCTTTCTGCCAACTAAGCAGGAAAGAGCCTATATTCAGCCAGAAATCTGCACAAAACCTGGTGTCTGACAGACTAATCTATCAAATGCTGGAGAGTTTCAATAAACTTAGGGTGCCAAACCTGCTGGTTGAGGCTCCTAGGCTATATTTACAACCTCCCATATTTCTGCAAGCTGAGGCTTGAGGCAGCTCTTTGGGAACATCACTCCCTCCATTCAGTCTTTGGCTCCTAAGCCTACGTGATACAAGTTGTTTTATTGCTCACATGTTCTGCAATGAACATGTTCTGGAGCAAGGCCAGCCAGGAAGGGGTGTACCCAGGCTGTTTTGTTCCCAATTTGTCACCAGGTTCTCCTGTTCAAAGCCAAAAGTGACCCTCCCAATGCTGTTTTTCACATTCACAGCTGTCTGTCCCATAGCCAGATGCAAAATTTTTAACTAGATCTATAAGGATTTTAAGTTTGTAGAGCATCGTCTTCCTAAAGTAACTCTGACTCCTTCTCAGTGCTRTCTGCTATTAAGAACTACACTCAGTACAGCTCTAAATCAGGACAAAAACCACTTGTTCTCCAGCATGCAGACTTGCATCACCAGCAGCTTTGTGGTTTTACATTCAGCAGAGCTTGCAGAAGCAGCTGGYCACCACCGAAGGATGTGCCCTTCACCTGCCCAACACAAGCCCTTATAGCAGCCCTTGCCCACCACCCTCTGCCCCCGGGCTCTCCTCAGGGAAGCCCGTTCATCACAAGCCACGAGAAATAACGTTGTCCTGGCTGCTGATGGAGCCCACAGCCCTCAGGACAGGCAGGACAAGCACATCTGGCCAGGAGGCTTTCTGGCTGCTTTTCTACCCTGATGTGTCCCCTCGCTGCAGTGACCAGCACCCTTAGCCGGGCTCCTCACGTCCACAGCCCCAGGAGGTCACTGCCTTGGGCACGCACCCGCGTGTCCTCCTTCTGGGAGCAGTCGAACATTTCCCTTCGGCTTTCCCAGGCACTCTCTGTGCAGCCATTTGTTTGGGTACCATCCTCCTGCTGTCCAAGCTGTTTCCCTTCAGCTTGCCATGGTGCCAGATCGTCGCATGGTGTCTCAGCCGTCCTCGCTTAAACTTTGTGTACTTTCCTCGCGAAGATGCTCTTGCGAAGCAGGCTTTTGGGCTGGACTCCAAGCAGGACCTTTCATATCAAAATGGGAGAAGAGCAGCCGGCTTCGGCTATAGCCTGGGTAGGGGATAAAGGAAGGAGAAGGGAYAAGGAGTCCCAAGGAGAACCTTGCAGATTTGAGCTGGAACATCCCGTAGGAGCAGGAATGAGAAGGGAGCTTCGTCCAGTCCCCCATCCCCTCCTGTATCCACTGGCAGCTCCCTCAAGCTGCTCTTCCCAGCGCATTCCCAGCTGGATAAGAGCAGTGTCCCAGGCTGCTTCGCCTTTGCCCTGGTGCCAGCATCCTCTCACCTGCAGCTCTCCTGCCGTGGCAGCAAATACACATGTCTGTATTTCAAAACTGCCATTCATTATGTGACACTAATCTGCAAGGAGCTATGACCCATTTCCTCACCATTACTCTGATTTCAGGTGTTTAGGCAGTGCAAATAGACCCGCACTTAATAAAAGCAAAGTGCTCACTAAGAATGTCATTGAGAAGAGTTAAATCTGAAGTCTAATAATGGGAAAACAAAATTGAAGGTAAAGACCATAAGCATTCCAGGTTGTGCTGTTGGAGAGGCATGGCAGTTTCTACAGGGCCAACTACAATCAGGTTCCATTTTAGATCCTTTGTTGTCTTGGAAGTTGTCAGGTCTGAAATATTCAAGTCTTATTCTTGAAGAATGGTTTGCAAAAAGAAAGCAGGACAGTTGGACCAAGTGGCATTGCTGACAGAAGCTTACGAAAAATTCAGATTCAAGTTCAGTTCCCAAAATCTTTTTTTTTTTTTTTTTATGTTTTGTACAGGGAGATTTATCTGTCTTGGGTATTTTGTGTCATGCAGATCATATTTTCAAGTTTTTGTTCTCAGTAATAATGAGGAATAAAAAAATGTTTTTCCTGCCTTTAACTAGCTCAAATAGTAATCACATGAGCTCAAGAGCTGAAAAAAAAGCAGCAAATGTTTCAAAACAATCACTTTTTCACAGAAGAAAAACAGCACATTAAAATACTAGCACTACATTTAACACAGAAATGAAAGATGCAAACTATGAGTCAAAACGAAGGTCATCAATTCCCGAGATGTGTGTTTTTATACTTAATAAAACRCGCTTCGCAATCTGGGCAGTGTGAGATTTACAATGTCCTAAGCTATTCATATCCTTGCCTTGCAAGTGTTTGGGTTTTACAAATGACGTGACAGGCAAACACGTTGCTTAGAGACCGGCGTGGACTTTCCAAAGTCCGGCTTTTGTTCCCGGGATTTGGGCTTGGCAGGTGCTCGGTGCGGCCGCGCTATCGGGCTCCCCTGGTTCGGCTCACGCAGCACCAGGCAGGCGGGGAGGGCTGGCAGATAAGGCTAGAGCTTAAGAATCTGAGCTGTGATTGCAGCTCCCTTTCCACCCCGCGTGCCCTCGTTACCTCTTATAGTTTCAGTCACGCTGTGTCTGATTCCTGAAACCCAAAACTCTCRGGAGCCCCAGGATTTTCTTTCCTTCTAGGAAGCATTTACTACAAAGCTTTTGGGGAGGACCAAGCTAAAAGATGCTGTGGTGAGGTCATATCTGCCTTTAAATAGAAAGAACTAGTCTGAAGTGATTTATAACACGATCATCTAAAAGAGGGATGTTAACTGGGAAATGAGGAGGTGGGAGCACTTAGAAACTCCACCCCGCTCCCTAACTCCTTCAACGAGCCCAGAATAGCTGGTGTTACTACTAATACGATCTGCAGCACCACATTTAAACACAGTTAACATTTAAATTTAGGTTTCATAAATTACACCCTGCAGAGATGGAGAGAGACAGCTCCCATCTCTTTGAGGTATTGTTTCATTTGCAAATTCAAGCAGATGGTGCACGAGCAACTAATGACTCAAAAATCACCCCTAAAAATAGTCCAGAACAAGGTGTGGATTTATGGGGGAAGGAGGGGACAGAAGAGGCTTTACTTCCCGTTCCCATTTCTCTGGCATCTCCAGGCGTTCAGCCCWGCACAGCCCGAGGGGCCTGCACAGAACCAAGGACCAGGGGCTACTCCCCACGAGCCCCATCTTCCTGGCCATGGCCCAGAGGAAAGGACAGGCAGTGGGGAGGGAAAGGTTCAGGATGCCCCGCGTCTCATTGCTGGAGCACAAGCCCGTGCAGAGGCAGAGGCTCCATCCAGGAGCCCAGGGATGGAGCCCAGGGAATCCCGTTGGGCTACATAAACCGGGGATCACACTGAGTGACCAGTCTGGGCTCGTACAATGCCTCGCAGAGGACACTGCTCACAGCTGGAGTCGTTTGGGAGCAATAAATATTAATCATCCCTGGTTAGCGATTGCCACACAGGTAGAGCTACAGCTTGGAAAAACAAAATGTTTCTGCACGAAAGCCAGAGTGCCTCTGGTAACACTGTGAGGTGACAGTAAGTGTTTTATTACTTATTGAGTAAATGCACCAAGAAAAGGGTTGTTAAATCCCACTGCAGTTGCCTGTCTGAAGACAGAAGCTTCCCCTCCATCCCACTTTTCCCATGTTCATGTCAGGGGTTCCTCCAGCTCTGCTTCTCACAGCCCTGGCCTCTAATGCCAAATAAACAGGAGGAGAGCAGTGTCCTCCTCCGTTGTCATGAGCAGGGCAGGCCACTACCACAGCGGTGTCTGATTCTAAACATCATAGTACAACTGCTCACAGTGGCTGATTTGTTGGCTGGGCTTAGCCTTTTCTTTTTGGGTTGTCTTACCTGTTTATTATGCAATAAAAAATTGTTCCTGCCCATGATTCARCCACTCCTGACATGGGTTATTTCACTGGTTCCTGATAACAAACACGGTTCTGAATTTGTTGGAGCTTGCCTGTGCTCACAGTGTCTTGTGTTTCTAGCCTTCTTTTATGACATAAATAGTATAAAATACTACTAATATTATTAATACTATTTTTATACTATACATAAATAGCATAAAAATACTATTTAAAAATAAAGGAAAATAGGTGCTAATTATATACGATGGCCCTGAACAACAAAGTTGCACCAAAAGACATTTCAGGAGAATCTGGCTTTGCCAGCAGCACAAAGTGAAGAGGTGGAGAAGTGAATTCCCAGGGAAGAGAGCAAAACCAACCTCTTGCACCACCACGGTCTCACTACAGCTATCAAAAGGCATCTAGATGAACTTGGTACAGATGAAGAGACTGTCCATGGCAAATAAACCAAATTCTGTGCTGGCAGAGCAATTCTCCTAACATTCATGCTCCTGAGGGAGAGGCCAGCATTCTGCTTCATTAACCAGTCATCTTGATTGCACCTTTCCTTTTTTTTTACTTTTATTTTTTAATTCTAGTAATTTTCTCTTCTTTGCAATTATACCAGGATTGTAAATCCCTCTACACAAATTACAGCTTTCTCTTTGAGATGGAGGCTGGCCACATGAGCTGGAAACACGCTCTCCTCTGAAATCAGAACCTAAAGGTAAAGTCCTTGAGCAGCAACCCTGATCTAATTAAAAGATTATCTTTACCTTGCTCCCACAATGAGCTGGTTCCTGTTGGCATCCAGTGCAAGCTGAGAAAAGTCCTGCACACCTGGATAGGTGAAATTGGAGACCCAGGGCTTCAGATCTGCAACGACAATGAAAAAGCAGAAAACAATGAAGTTGCTCTAGAAGCAGTGAGTTCACCAGACATCCACTAATGGATTTCCTACAGAGTTATCTGTCAAGGGAAGGATAATTAATAATCTATTTAAAGGGTTACTATTTATTCTCATCCTCTGCACAATGTGCAAGAATTGCACATAAACGCGGGGCTGTCTCAGCAGTTATTTTCACATCCAAGATAGAGTGTCAGTGTCGGCTTGAGACAACAGCCGCTTGCTTTTACTGCTGTGAAAATTGGGGAGCCAGAGCTAAGCAGTGCGAGGGGACGAGGCACCTCCATAACACCCCCGCAGCCTTGTCTTCCGTGCCAGGCAAGGGGAGGCTGCTGCCCTCCAGAAGGTGGGATTAACAGATTGAAACTGGCTTAGAGCAGAAGTGATCTGCACTCAAGAGCTCACGTGTCCAAAGACAGGTTTGACCTTCTCTTCTAGGTTTAAGGTTCTGCTCTGGGTTTCATTTAGCCCACTCAATGAAAGCCTTCCTCCACCAAGATGAGGGTGCCTATCACAGCATCACAGCATCTGAGAGATTTCAGAGGTTCTGACAACTAGGTTGCATCTGCCAACCTTGACAGTAAAGCACATTACAATCAGACAGGCTAATGCAGAGCARTGGATTTGACTAAGCGACATTCTTGGAGACAAAGCTCTTCTTACAGAAGCTACATCTATTAACACAACATCTAGTGAGAGATCTGTGGCAGGATGTAACAGAAGTACACTTGTTTTAAATGAAGGGAAACCTAAAACACCACTTTTAGGATACTCTCAGGTCTGATGCGAGGGCATATGCAGACCTCCAGATTTCAGTAATCAACTTTGACCTCGTCTATATCACATATCACAGAACTTCACCCTCTCACATTACACCTTTACTGCATGAAATAACTGGGGCTTAACTAATGTAAACCTTTCAGAAAGCCATCCAGTTTTACTGGCAGACTTCTCTTGGGAGTCTGTTCCAACTYTGAAGTACTCTGTTAAATACATGGATAATGCCAGACATCTGAGGGAGCAAGGCACAATGAGACCAGTCCAGGACAACTGAAATCCCTGTGTGACTTATGGACAAGTATCCCTGCCTCTTTCAAGAGCTGGGTGTTGAAGATACATGAGGCTCAAACCTTTGAATGTGAAGGGTATGGCCTCRTGCCAACAGGACACGGATACAGAGGGCAGTGACCTGGTGACTCATAACAATAATGAGGCAGCTACGCTCAGCCTGTGAAAACCTGCCCTCTTGTCATTTTACGTGCCCAGAGATAAATTGAGACCTCTCACTAAACACTGCAGGTTTGAGCATTGGGTCTGGGCATCAGTTCCCCATCTGCAGGGTGAGACGCCGGTGCTGACGAGGGCTCTTCTTGTTTACAAGGCCTTTGACACCTTGGCATGCTTTGTGGGATTACAGATATGCAGGGGTTTGAAAATCTTTATGTAGGTTTATGTAGGGCTATTTTGGRGGCACTCTCAAGTCCCTTCTCCTTCCAGGTTGGGTGAAATCTAATCAAGCCCTTAAGTCATCAAAACCTTGATAAAASACAAATGAACATCCCTTCTGTCCAATCTCTCCATCTGCTGCTCATGCACCTTCCTTCCTCAGGCAGTGCCTTGCCATGGAGCTCTGTCTCTGCCCTGGACATCACCGTGTCTCACCAGCACTGTGGAGCCCCCACCGTGGGGTGACCACCAGGCCCAGCCCCACATCCCGGCTGGCCCAGCGCGGTCAGGGCACCTCCCATGACAAAACCTTCACCCCCTCAATCCAAAAGCGCTGTTGCTGGGAGCTGGAGGCTTCCAGCCCTCCTCAGCATTCCCGTCACACATCTAACCACACGCAGCACATGTGCCTGCTCTGCTCTTCAAGGAAAAGGCACAAGCCRAGGAACAACTGAGCCAGCCCACCTTCAAACACCTCCTCCTCCTGCTCTCGTGGGGACCCTGAACGAAGCACCAGCACCGGGGAGGCAGCACAGCTGCACCCCAGCCATCTCCCCCGTAATGGGCTCCCTCTTCCCTTCCAGCAGCTCTTCAGCTGCACACACGTTTGGGAGCAAGCAGCAGAACCAGCCCCACGTGCTGCCGCCCACGGTGGGATCTGGGGATTGCTCCATAACGATACCTTTTGAGGATTCTGCTTTTAGGCCATAATTCCTCTTGTCGCTTTACCTCCTCTCCCACCAGCTTCTTTTTCCTACTGACTACCCAACTATTGAGTGCAAGAGCAGGGAGAATATTTCCTCATGTGCTGCTCTAAGCAAAAGCTGCTCRCTCAGAGTACACTCATCAGCTCTTCCTTTTAATAGCAAGCTCTGACAAATTACAGGTAAAAATAATTAAAAAAAAATAAAGGCAGTAGGTGGCTCCAATCTTTCCATGTTGGCTTAAATGTCAATCAAGCCCATGAAATAACAGGCAGTGTCTTGATTTCTATTACTACTGCAGGTGGTACAACTTATAAAGAAACTCTTCCCGGTTATTAAATTAAAGGCTGCAAGGCATGCTTCCTCATAGCAAAATTAAGCTTTTATGGGCATGTAGTTGGAGATTATTAAACCCAGCATGGTCTCAGCTAAGAATGTCTGACTGCGAGTTGTCAGAATTAATGCCAAATGGCACTTTTTCCTTCCTAACCCTCTTTCTTCCTGTTGGAGGAAAGGGATAGAGTGGAATGGAAATCAAGAAAGAGACAGGACATGGGGCTTTTTTCATCTGACACATTTAGATCTATTGCTGTGACCACAGCATCCCTAAGGATGGCTCCAAGCTTTCATTTTAAAACARGCTCAGTTCTGCTAGGTAAGTGCTGCCCTGGGCCGATCCACTATTAGCTCGAGTTTACACATATGGACCCAATGAACTTCAGAGTTTGCTTGTATTTGACCTTCCTCAGAAGGCTGATTTTTCCAGTGCTCTTTAATTTGGCTGGAAACCTTCAGTGCTGGGGCATGTTTACATTTGCAAAAGTATCTGTTTAAAAACAGTATGAAAAATTAAAATGCAAGGCCCTGGCTTTGCCTGTCGGCAGCGGGAGCTGGAAAGCCAGGAACCAAACCGCTTAAGGGCGAAACGCTCATCAAGGCCTCCTTTGTGCTCCTCATCGCTAATCATTTCCAGGGGGTTAAAGATCCCTGCTCTCGCTTCCTCCACATTAGGACCAACAAACAAAAGTTTAATAGTTTCCAACCCTGTCCTGGGCCAGCGGCCTGAGTCGGAGCCGCGAGGCCCAAGGTGGTCGGTACCAGCTGSAGAGAGCAGGAGCCGTGCAGGGAGCGCAGGTCTGCAGGCCGGGCTGCGCTCACGCCTCCCGCGCGCGAGACAAGGTGCAAAAGGGCCCTGGATGGAGGGACTTGACCCCGAGCGAAAAGCCGGAGCGCCAGCCCGTGGGAGCGGCGGCTGGCAGCCTCATCCAGAGGCTCCTCAAGTCACTGGCAGTTTTCCGCTGAGCGCGAGGGGCTTTGGATCAGCTTCTGGAGACGTGTGGTAAAGCTGGGAGTACTTGAACCTCCCTGTCCTCGAACCCAGCTGTTCCCCCCCTCACCCTGACCCGAGCACTTTGGAAGCAAGAGGAACCCGAGCACCGAGCTGAGACTCCGTGCTGCAGGGCAGGGTTTGCTGCCTCATCCCCCTGGGGCCCGAACGCAGCTCCCAGGGAATGTGAACTTGCCAGAGAGGTTAAATGCCTGGGCTTTGCAACTGCAGAGCCACTTCTATGCACAAGGTGCATGGCCAAGCACTGTGCTATTCAAGAACATCTCTTCTGGAATACCTCGCAGTAGGAACTCTCCTAGTCTGGAAGACTAGGAAGAGGCTAAACTGCACAGCAGCAAAGATTCTTCATGTAAAAGAAAGGKGTATCCACATGCCAACCATCCATGCGTCTGTCCGTGGTAGCTTGGATATGAATAACACTGAGGCTGCATGAGCAAAATCCTCAGCTTRAATTACTTGTCCCAGTTTTTCCTGTGTGCTTTGGGCAGASCTTGATTTCCAACACGAACATGGCACTGCCAACCACAAAATCATTATCTACATTGTACTGAGCTAGCTGAACATTTGGTGTGTGCCCTGTTCATCCCTTCAGGTAGCTGCGCAGTCACATGTGAAGACTCCCCAGGTATGGAGTTACTTTGGAAAGCTCCTTGTGACTAGAGGCAGGGACAGTCAGGCTGTAACACATCCTGAGGGCTGCCACCATGTAGAAACGTGAGCTCCCTGCTGCAAATGGAGGCACTGCACAGAAAAGCTGCTAGGATGTAAAAAGACAAACAAAACACAGGAACCCCATTCCAGAAAATAAAACATGAAGCAAAAACTTCTTTTAGACCAAAGCCGCTGTAAAATAAGCTGATTCARCAATAAAGACTTGTGGGATAATGCAAAACATACATGTAGCACTGATGGCCTGCCAGACTCAACAACCATAAATGAATACCTGGTCTGCAGATATTGAGACTTACTTTTGTGCAGCAGTGGCCACACATTTACTGCAGCTCTTACTGCCTCAAGATGTGCTCTTAAAAGCTCTCTTAACTCAGCTTACTAGATCATGGTGCATTTACTATGAGTGTGTGAAAGTTTCCTCTCTCACGCAGAGGTGCAGGTTACAGCCTTGACCGTTGCAACTGTCACAACTCCTCTCCTCAAGCCTCTCAGCTTGCTTCAACCCTCACAAACCAAGTTTGGAGACCACCAGGTACTCCAGCTTGCAGATACTTAACCATTCAGATCTCTCTCAGACTACCTCTAGCTTAGAGGACTGTCAGTGTCAGATCCCACTGATGACCAACAGATGTAAATCACATTGTAACATASAGTTGTTGTGCTACAACCTTGTGACTCAGCCTATCGTTCAGGTAAACACAAACAAACCATCTCATTTTCTGAATCTGACCTACTCTCTACTCACTTGTCAAGACCTGCAAACTCAGACCACCCTCTGTCTCTATGACTTTCAGGATTC